CCTCTGTGTGATTCTGAAAACTGCCTTTTCTATTTTCATCATATGGCCATGGTTTGTGTTTTGGTACTAATGTATCGCCAAAGTGACCATAATTTGCTAACTTATGTTTGGATAGGTAGTCATAGGCCTCATGTGTGTTCTTATTTTTTTATTTTAAAAGCTTTATTGAGGTATAATTGGTATATGGGCACAGAACATATTTAATGTATACACATTGTTATGATTTTGGACATATGCATACACCTATGGAAAAAAACCATCACTACAATTAAGGTAGTAAACATATCCACCACTTCCAAAAATTCCTTATGCCCCCTTTTTTATAGGTTCCAAAGATCTGTTATACAACAGTGTCTATACTTAATAATACTATATTTTGCAATTTACAAAAAGCTATTAAGAGGGTAGAGCTTGTGTTATGATTCTTTGTTGGCTTCATCTCATGATGACAGGCCATTTATTTTTCCTACACTTCGGTTTCTCCCAGACCTATTCCTTACTTCCCCCATGTCACTAGGACTACATCCCTAGGACAGTCTAGATCGATGCCTTATTTTCCCCTCCCCCATGGGTCAGTTCTGAACTACATCCATCTCATACGTAGCCTGCGGCTACTTCACTTTCCCACATGGCTCTGGAGCACAGGCTGCATGTATTCAGTGCCTGCAGGCGCCTCTCAGCACCCTCTCATGCCATGCTCCCCGCTTAGGCTCCTCTTTCTCTAAGTGTTATTTTTTTCCCTGTTGCCCCCCACCACCCCAGGACCTCCTTCGTCAGCTTCATGTTAACTCCCTATAACATAATATCAGTAAAACTGTCTTAGGATTTTAAAAAAGAGAGAAACCGACTTAGAGTATGTTTTCATGGCCACCTTCATGGAGAAGATATCAATCAATACAAGTTTTGAGGAGTGCAGACCATTTAGATGAGCATCAGTAAAATCGAAGGCTTGATTTTGATTTTGAGGGAGGATTGCAGTCTAGGAACTAAGCAAGATGAAGTTATTATTTTTTTTTAATTGCATGACCCTAAGCATAAGTAACTTAACCACCAACTGTCTTAATTAACCAATGTTTATAGTCTCTGTGTTTGCAGGTAGTGTTTCATAAATGCCTGGAGGTGCACAGTGCTCAGCTTTATGGGAGGTTGGCTTAGTATTATAAAGAGCACTCTTAGCTGGTGAGTAAGTTCTAGTTAGCACCCACTTACTGAATTCTCTGAGCTTCAGTTATCCTTTGGCTAGCAACACCTATCGTATTAGAGTTATTGCAAGGATGAAAATAGATAAACCATGTATTGCTAATACAGCTAGTTTAATGCCTGGCACATAATAGCTGTTATTAGCCTTAGCAAAAAAAATTGTCATTCTGTTCATGGATAAAAGCACATTTAAAACAACTGATTTTTATGTTTCTTCAATACTCTGATGAGATAACAAGTAGCTGGGAGTGGGTGACCATGGTTAGTCCTCTAGGTCAGTAATAAGAAACTATTTTTAAGCACATCCCTGTCTTAGCTACGCCTTTTCCATCTGGGTTGGGATTTCTGTAGGTGCTCTTGCCCTGTGCCTCAGTACTAAATGTTTAAGACACTAGATATTTTTACTTTTTAAAGCATACTTTTTCACCTAAAATGATGTGTTAGAAACCTGAACGTGGATTGTAGATGAAATTTTGAGATACAAAAGATTGTTGCAGCAAACTCTGAAAAAACTTTGCGTTTAGATATGTTGGTATGTTAGGTTGTTGACAGTGAGGTGGATAGGGAGTTCCTGACTGGATATTTTGCCCACAAAACCTAAGTAGCAGAAGGGTTTCATTGCTCAACAGTTTGCATTCGTGTTTCCACAGAGCCACTGCTTTTTAAAACACAAACATGTGTATCGTCTTCTGGCTGCACTTCCCCTAGGATAAGATGATAAGGGCCACAGTGGTTTTAACTATATTTTGCCCACGATTCACGCAACTTTATTATTTGGATATATTTTATCATCAGGATGTGGGTGATGCTTACTTTATCTCTGCTACTGAATATTTTTTCTCGCTCTTCTATAATATAATGAGTTTCAGACTGATGGGACTTCTGAAGTCAGTAAGAGAGTGAGGGGGAATTAAGTAGAATTTTCAATTTTAATTTAAATTGCGATCTGCATGCAGTGTCTCTCTTTTTTTTTTTTTGAGACCTTTGGTCTATTACAGAGAGAGGGAAAGAGAGACAGAGTGAGAGAGAAAAAGAGAGAGGGAAAAAGAGAAATAATAGCTTTTCAGAGAAGTAGATGTAGCCTTTCCTGCTTTCCCACTGGTCTGAGAGGCAAGTGACTGTGGAATAATGGTCAGAGAGATGTAATGTCCATGACTTTGAAGGTGGAAGAAGGTGGCCATGAGTCAGGGAATGTAGGCAGCATTTAGAAGCTGGAAAAGATAAGGATGTAGGGTTCTTTTCTAGGGCCTCCAGAAAGGAACACAGCCCTTCCAACACCTTGATTTTAACCCATTGAGACTTGTGACAAATATCTCACTTCCAGAACTGTAAGGGAATAAATTTGTGGTTTTAATGACTAAATTTGTGGTAATTTGTTACAACGGCAATAAAAAATTAATAAAAGCATGCATACATTTCATATCACTGAGGGCAATACATTTATTTTTATGGTTTTAAATTTATGTGTAGTTGCCTCTGCCATGATCTGTTATGTTACATATGTACTACATCTTTAACTTACCATCCTCTACCTGAGACAGATTTGTTTATGGAAGCCCTCACTTTGCTGTACCATGAACATCCACTGAGGGAACTATATCCTTCATTCAATGGATATTTACAAAACACTTGGTTTATACCAGGAACTTTGCTAAGTGCAAGAGATGCTTTAAAGAATAATAGCCATTCAGGTCTTCTGCCCATTTTTAAATCGAATTGTATTTTTGTTATTGAGTTGTATGTGCTCTTTATATATTTTCAATATTAACTTCCTATCATTTGCAAATACTTCTCCCATTCAGTAGGCTGCCTTTTCACTTTGTTGATGGTTTTCTTCACTGTGCAAAAATTTTTAACTTTGATTGTATTCCATTTGTTTGTTTTTACTTTTGTTTCCCTTGCCTGAGGAGATAGATCCAAAAAAATATTGCTAAGACATGCCAAAGAGTGTACGGCTTGTTTTCTTCTAGGAGTTTTATTCCTAGTTCTAACACCTGTCAGAATAGCTATCATCAAAAAGACAACAGATAATAAATGTTGGCAATGATGTGAAGGAAAAAGTAACCCTAGTACACCATTGGTGGGAATATAAATTGGTTCAGCTACTATGAAAAACAGTATGGAAGCTCCTCAAAAAGTTAATATGGTCCAGCAATTCTGCTCCTAGGTATATATCCAAAAAAATGAAAACACTAATTTGAAAAGATATATGCACCCAATGTTCATAACAGCATTATTTACAAAATCCGAGATATAGAACCCAAGTGTCCACCAACAGATGAATGGATAAAGACATGGGGTGTGTGTGTGTGTGTGTGTTTGTGTGTGTGTGTTTGTGTGTGTGTGTGTGTGTGTAATGGAATACTACTCAGTCATAAAAAAGAATGGAAATTTGCCATTTGCAATGACATGAATGGACTTGGAGTATATTATGCTTAGTGAAATAAGTCAGAAAACGAGAGACAAATACTGTATGTTTTCACTTATATGTGGAATCTAAAAAAATAGAACAAATGAATAAATATAACAAAACAGAACCAGACTCACAGATACAGAGAACAAACTAGTGGTTATCAGTTGGGAGAGAGGTGGGGGGAGAGGGGAGATAGAGGAAGAGGATTAAGAGGTACAAACTACTAGATATAAAATAAATAAGATACAAGATTAATGTACAACACAAGGAATATAGCCAATGTTTTATAATACCTATAAATGAAGTATAATCTATAAAAATATTGAATCACTATGTTGTAATTCTGAAACTAATAAAATATTGTGTATCAACCACATTTCAATTTAAAAAGAACAGCCATTTTCTTACTATATTGTCACAACATTGGTCATGTCTAGTTCTGCCAGACTTTTCCCCCTTTTATTTTTTACTGTTTATTTATTTATTTATTTATTTATGGAAGTATAGTTGATCTACAATATTACATTCATTTCAGGTGTACAGCCTTTTAGATTGCACATTTCTTGAGGATAAGCTCTCTTTCTTCCTTTGTTTCCACTCAGCATTGTTCTAGTATCATGATGACAAGCCATTTTTAAAGGATAGGAGCCTCTTGTAAGCTAACACATCTATACTCAGGTATATTAAGATTTCTGTATATAATGTAGAATCAAGATGGAGCTCATTTTCTTTGGTTTGTCAGATTGTTTTTAAGGTACCTCTTACAGTGGAGTCCTGGAGAATTTAAAACAATTTTTGGCCAAAACTGCAGTGAGAAAGGAAAAAGCCCAAATAGAATTCCAAGTCTAGACGCACATTAGTAATCCAACTCTGACCTCAGAAATAGTTTTTAAGTGAGCTGTTCTGCAAAAACTAAATCATAAATGACAATTCTGCCAAGGTTAATTCTTAAACTGCTGTGGCGTAACATGTTTCATGAATGCCAACGGCTTTTATTTGATTCAGAAGGGACTCAAATCAATAAATTATCTTGTGGTCCTCAAACTGGCTTTATTTGTCACTGGGTTCTGAAGCTCCAGAACTAAATTTTATAGGACTAGTGGACATAAGACCTTTTTCTTGACTACTACTTCTAACTCTTTAGGTATTATGCAAAAAGGAGAAAGAAAAATACATAGGACCTAAATTCTTAAAGTTTTAACATGCTATGAAATTTTTTCTTATATTAAAAATATGTAATACAATACCTTTTTGCCCCTCTGAAAGAACATTCAGAGCGATGTGGCACCCTCTCTGTGCTTTCCATTATGGTGGCCACTAGCCATGTATGTAACCATGAGCACTTCGAATGTGGTTCGTCCAAACTGAGATGTGATATAAGTGTAAAAGGCACACCAGCTTTTGAAGAGTTAGTATAAAAGAAAAAAATGTAAAATATCTCATAGTAAGTTTTGTATTGGTGGTATCTTGAAATGATAATATTTTGGATATATTTGGCCAAGTAAAATAGATTATTGAAATTAATTTTACTTATTTCTTTTACTTATTTTAATGTGGCTCGTAGACAATTTACAGTTATATATGTGCTTTGCTTTTGTGTCTCACATTATATCCTACTGGACAGTGCTGCTTAGATGATTAAATTTGTTGTTTCAGCTGTAGGAGATTATGATGTTTGGATTCTTAAATATTAAGCGTGAGGTCAGTGCCTCTTGCTGGCAAGGCCACCCCTGCTTGGTCCTTTCCCTCTTTCTAAGCCTGGGAGAAGGGGTATCTTTCTCGTTAAGAGACAGATTGATAGGTAAAAGAGACATAAGAAAAAGACCAGAGCATCACTGATGTGCCATCAAGAGTGGAGGTAGTTACAGCATACTCTGTCAGCTGTAACTAGGCTGTTTGCCTTTTTCTAAGAAAGCACTAGAACCCATCCCTTGAAAATGAGAAAGAGCCTGTTTATTCACCCGATGAGGACTAAGTTGTGTCTGTCACCCGAGGTGTGAACTCCGGAAAAATGTGAGAATGACAAATTATAATCTTATTTCGAGTGGAGAGGACAGAACTGGGTGGGATGGACTAAATATTGTGATTTCTTACTGTCTTCAGACTTGATATTGACTGAAACTGATTTTCAACATAACATTTATAATTTTATTGCAATACTGTTCTTAAAGCATGGGAAAGTGGTTATTCAAGAGCTCATGCTTTCTGAAGAAGGAACCAAATATCTGATGTCTCCTGAACATGATTTAGATTATCCTCCCACCAAGAGTAAAGACTTCATTTCATGAAGTAGAGGATGGAGAGGAGGTTGAATTATAAAGTCTCTAACCTTTTGTCCAATTTTAAGATTTTGTCCTTTTTTTTTTCTTCAAAGTTTTGTTGCAGTGCTGTGAACTATATTCATTGTTTGGAATTAATGAAAGATTATATTATTACCATGTCCATTGAATCTTATTTTCTGTAAGCTAATACACTAGAGGAAACCATGAGTTCTGTGTTTGCAAAAAAAAAAGAAGAGAGATTTTCAATATCCTCTTACTGCTTATGAACATCTGTTTTAGAAGTTTTTAATTATCTCCAGGGAGAGAGGGACATAATAGTGGTGTTCATACGGAAGCAATTTAAAAGTGATCACACTTGGTTCTCCAAATGGGTCTTTGCTTGTTTTAGGGGCAGAGGTGGGGGTTGCTTATTCATCTGGTATACAGAATGTTCAATACTTTGGCCGTTTTAGCATTTGAAAATTACTAATATTCCATTTCCTGAGACATGGAAAATGGATAATTTTGTCTAAGCAAGCAAATCAAACACTGTAATATCTTGATTAAAATAAAAAGCAGGAGATGCTCTGGGTTTCTTTACAAAATGTATTTTTCTGCTCTACAGACAAACTGTTGGGTGCTGATCACGGGAGCTGTGGTAGTTATAGCGCATAAATAAAAACGGCATTCCACGCATCAGCATCCTGGAGCATTTACAGAAGAGGCTGTGAAAGATACACTGGGGGAGACAACTCAGAGATTCTGTACAGCTCTCTTCCAAGAATTTAAAACACTTTCAGACAGTGTAGGAAGTTAGACTTGTTCTGCGTGACTTCAGGCGACTCAAGAGGAAGAGGCGATGTTAAGGATGAGGGAAATCTCTTCTAAGTTTGCCAAAGAGTGCCCTAACAAATAGAGATAACAGGGAGATTGGTGGCACTTGGGGGTCGGGCTCACTCGTGAGGGGATGTGTTTAAGCAGAGGATAGATCACGGCCTATGAAGTACGCTAGAACTTCAACCTTAGGTAGAAATTTGGCAGGATATTAGACAAGGTTAACTTTCAGAAACCCTGCAATGTTAAGGTATGAGAAGCAAAAACTAACTTGTGTTAACAGGCTTCTAAAACGAAAACGTTTGGCTTCTGGATTGCATTATTCATTGCAAATCCGATGAAATGCACTTACTTGTTTAAAGCTGCTGATTATTTGGGTTACAGTTCACATCCTCACTTGAGTGCAGTGAAGAACATGTTTATTAGCCTGGATCTCTGTATTCCAGGCATGAGCCCTTTTGATGAGAGGTGACTAAAGCGTGTGGGTGTTTTTGCAGCCCTCCCACGTATAGCACAGTCTGGTAGCTGACAGTTCTGTTGGCGCAGCTAGTCTGTACACTGACCTTATTAAAACATTGATCAGCTCAGACCTCATGGAGCTTATCTGTGCACAGCTGCCTCATCCTAGATAGCATTCATTTTGTGCCCTAGTGATTTTGCACGGTGAGGATTCGAAAGAGACCAAACTTAAAACCTTCACAAAACTGTGAAGATGGAAATGAGTCTCTTGTGTTTCTTACTGAATCAGCATAACAAGATATTAGAGCAAGAAGGGAAGGTGAAAATGATTTATTTCATTGGTTCTCAGCCTTGGCTATCCCTTGGACTTGCTGGAGACTGAAAATAAAATCCATAAAATCCAGGTCTGGGCCCCACACTCAGGGATTTTTGACTTGGGCTAAATTGGTTCCTGCGCTCTGGTTTGGGTTTTGTTTGTTTGTTTGTTTGACAGCTTCCTAGGTAATTCTACTGTGTAGTCAAGGTTGGGAAGCACTAGTCTTTTCTAACTTCTTCATTTTCTTAATGGGGATGTTAAAACTTAAAGGAGTCGTTCTCAAAATTTTTTATGTTTATAGCATACAATTGAAAGCTGTATGTTTGGGTGACACACTTGAGGGAATTGGAAGACTAAAAACCACAAAGTAATAGTTACAATGCAACACACTCAGGGTTGCAGTGTGATGATGACTCACAGTGTCTACAAAAGCAACCCCTGGTTGTTGTGCTGGTGTCCTGGTCAACTTTGTCAACAACTCTTTACTGTCTTGACTTTCTTTCTTACTCACAGTCAAAATTCTAGCAGCTTCTCCAGATCTGGGATCTTTCTTTGTTGCCAGCTTCTTAGCTTCTCATTGCAACAAGCTTTACTGTCCTTAAAACTCAACTCTGTGACCTGCCACACCATTCTATCTAACAGACTTTCATTCATTCATTCATTCATCACTGCAGATGTGGTGGTGAGAAAAAACGAACACAGCTCTTGTCCTCCTGGAGCTTATGGACTTTAATCAAATAATCATTTAAACAAATGTAAAAGTACATCTGTATGACAAGTACAAAGGTGTACAACTCGATGAGAAAAAGTAAAATAAGGACTTGAGCAAATCAGAGAAATCCAGACAAGGTTTCACTGATCAAGAGAAATGATGAGCAGAATTTAACTAAGCAAAGAGGGAAGGGCAGACCATTCTTGACAGAATTATAGGAAATATTTTATTGTAACAATTTGCTTCTCGGTTGTAACAAAATATAATTTTATGTATTGATCAAAATTTAGCTGAATACCTCAGAGTGCTTCATGTGCCAAAGGATTTCAATTTGGAATCCAACAAATAATAATGAGTTGAAATGACCCCTTGCAAAGCTTGGAAATAATTAAGTCAGTGAAAAATTGGTTATTGATACTGTTCAACTGTTGAAGCCACACAAATGGTAAGGGATAATATTTTTATAAATGATCTTAGAATCAGGGATGATATAACAGTTTTCAGACACAGCTCTTCTTATATGAATGATATCCAGTATTTTTGATAAGAATAGTTTTCAAAAAAAATAGTCAACCTGCCCTGACGTTGAGTTATAATATGTAGTGCTTAAGATGATTCTGAAAATACATCGTGTTTATTTAACCCAGATCAAGCTCCTTGCATGTTCTCTTCCTTTCTAATTTCCTGAACAGAAGAAATCAGTTTCTCTCAATGTGCCTAGAATTATTTATAAGAATGTAGACCTGCTAAAGTGTTCTTGGACAATAGTACACTAAAGTCCATAAATTTAAGGAAGGACAGAGAATAATAGATGGGTCAGCAATTCTCAGGTCTTTTTATTGAGACCACATGATGGATGATAGGGTTCTTTGGGTGCACATTCTCGACACAATAGTCCAATGTCCACTCCTATTTCTTCCAGTCATGAAAGAATATAAAATGCATATAAACGAGAAGTGTACTGCAGAGGTATTCCTGAAGCTTGAATTAAAATAAATACCTGTTTCAAACGTCCATACCTTCTTACATTTGATCCATCTCATAATTAATCATAGCCCAACATTTGTATATTTCAACCCTCTGTTTTAAGAATTAAAGGATTGTTTTCTTTTTTTTAAATTAAGTTCAAACATTTTATAAATAACTGGAAGAGAATCTTTATTCTAACAATTGGGCAGTTGGGCTGGTGTTTATTTCTGTAGAGAAGTCTCCAGCTGGGTCTTTTTGGTAGTGATAGTGAGACAGTCTTCCCTAGAAAGTGCTGCCACTCCTCTCTCTAAACTAACGTGACCATCTCAGAGGTGTTGCCTTCAAGTTGCCTTGAAGAGTTAGGGGCCAAAGATACAAGGGAGAAAAACTATTTTCTGCCTTCAAGCCTTTGCACCTGCTGTGGCAACAAATTGGCCTAAGCTTCTCCCATTGTACACAGAGAATGTCTATTCATTCTTTAAATTCGACTCCAGTATCACTCTCCCTGAAGTCTTCCTTAATGTCTTGCAGGAAGTACTAGCTACTCCTGTGACCTGTGTACTCAGTCCTTAGCTCTCCTCCATGTCATATTCTCAGTTGTACAAAATACTTACCTTCATACAGAAACCCAAGTCCTCAAAGCTAGGAACCTGACAGAGGCCTCATCTATTGATGTGCCTTGTAGTATAGTTTTTGGCATATATCACACACTTGAGAAAGGTTTACTGAAATAAAGCAATAATTGGGTAGGTGCACAAATGAGTGAGTGAGTGTGAGGGAAGATGAAAGGACACTTGTTCTCACAGGGAAGCTTCAACAGATTGAATAAGCATTGAGGACCTGGGTTTCTGCCTTGAGCCACGCAAATGCTAAGTATACAAAGGATGTCATGAGAATCTTGCTTTGATGTGGAATAAAAATATCTAATATCTTAGGCCTTGGTAACAAAAGGCTGTAAAAAAGCAAGGTGGGGAACCCTCAGACACTGGTGATGTCAGCCTGTTTTTTTTTTTTTTAGCAATTTTGTGAAGGTTGACATTTGGATGACTGTGAGAACAAGACTTTATTTTTCAAAATGTTCCAAGTGGTGTAAGTGGAGTTATGGAGATCTGGGAGCCAGGAGCATCTGACTTACAACCTTCTGGCTGGTTTCCTAGGTGTGTGAGTCTATAGGAGTATCTGGAGCCCGTTTCCTAAGCACCGGCTATGACCTTGCCCTTCCCGACAACCAAGCTGTCCTCATGCTACATACTATCCTGGATGCCTCTCCAATGCTGAAAACCTTGAGTCCTGAGAAGAAATTATTTAAGTCCCTGGCTAATGAGTCACTCAGCTACTAAGCCTACAAAAGAGTAAGGGCTTATGGTCCAGGCGCTCATTAGTGTGTCTGGCCACTTGTCAGGTAGTTCTCGTGTGACTTCTGTCATTCCTTTGCTTTCCTGCTCCAGCCTCTTTCCCCAGGTACCACCCGTCTGCCAGATGTGCTGCCCCTGAGGTCTCAGAAGCCCTCCAGGCACAGCTGTACCTATCTAAAATACTATCATGGATGAATGACTTAATTTAAATTATTTCAGGTTCTATAAAAGCTTAGTTTAGATCCCAAATAGAGCAATTATTTTAAAAAAAAACACTGAGTAAAGGAGTATTCATTCTTTCCCTTTTTGTATGTTCATTTTCTAAATTTCAAAGTAGAAAATTTCTACATGTTTTAAGATGAATGAACTCTTAAAGCCAAACCCAGAAGCAGACAGTTTTATAGAAGATGCTCTTGCGGGAGTAATCCATAAGGAACATTCAGCATGTTTACTACTCTGAGTCCTCTCGAATGAGTTGGAACTGTCAATACCGAACGTTTTAATGAGGCCTGAGAAAGGTCAGGATTGACAACAATAGAGTTACCCAAAGTTGAGTCAGTGCTTTTTTTTCCTGACACTGAGGTAACTCGTGAAGAAAATGTCGAGGTATAATTAAACAGAATTAGATTTTCGTACCCCTCAAGATTATTCATATTTGAGGTTTCACCTACGTTTCTCCTAGCCTTTGTTAGTCAGAGACCCAGCAAAACCAGAATTCAACCCAGAATGGTTGTAATGAGGAGATGCTAGTGAAGGAACTCGTTACAGAGGTATGGTCAAGGGAGGGGACAACGCAAGGATCTATGAGACACCAAGTGCCTAACAACAGTGGGAAACCTAGGCCTGAAGGGGCAAGAAGGGTTAGTGGAGCCATGAGCTGAAGCTGAAGAGAAGGACCACCCAAAGGAGTTGTGGAAATGGAAGGTCATGACTACTTGAAAAAAAAAATAAAGAAAATAAAGAAAAGAGAAGAAAAGACAAAAGAAAAGCGAGCGGCCCAAAGCAAGAAGGACATGCAGAGGAAATATCCATGGCGTGTCTCTCTTCTGCCCTCTGGTTTCCTGCTGGTGTTTACCATTGGATAAATCCAAAGGGAAGCCAGGATAAGCTTCCTCCTTAGACCACTTACCAAAAGTTGTCTCACTGGTTCTTGTCTTTGTGGTCTGTTGAGTTCTGGGACTCTGAAGTCTATTTTTCCCTGCTGCCAACATGGAACTCTGTAGGAGCATATGCCTTATTGATTTCTTGCATTTTGCATTCTAGCCCCCTTTCTTTATTAGAATGTTACACCATCTATTTCAACTTGAATACCAACTCCTAACTATAAGTAGCATTTGGTTAAAAAATATTCTGAATAAGATTTATGTCTTTGGTATCTCTTGGAGAATCCAAGGGTTAAAAAAACACTTTCTAATATTGTATTAGTTTCAGATGTACAACATAGTGATTCAGTACTTTTATAGATTATACTCCATTTAAAGTTATAAAATATTGGCTGTATAACAAAAAGACACATACACAGACACACACACACAAACTTTCCAGAAAATTTTGCAGTTTTTTTTCCCCTAAATTATTTTTGCTTTTCTCACATACAACTTTGAAACACGGATTTGGGAATAAGGTAAACATTTTGGTTGCTCTTGAATATAATAAATATGTAATTTGCTAATAATGTGTTCTTATTAACATTTAAAGCACTTTATGTACTTCTTTAGGTTTCTGTATAGAAGTTTTTCTTTAAATATTTAAAATCAAAGTCCAGCATTTGCATATACTAGATTTCAAGAATAATATGTTAAATTTATTTTTTAAACATGAAATTGTTTCATTAATAGAAATGAAACTGTTAGAGACTAAAATCGACTTGTTCTTAGTTCACATTAATCTTTTATTATTTCCTCCATTCGTGGAGCAAAATATTTATTGAGTTACTATTACCATATATCACTGAATATAAATCATCATCAATTTTATGTAACATCCTGATTTCAGAAATATTAAAATGTGAAAAAAATGTGCTTTTTAAAATTGTTGAAATAATCTATGTGGTGGGTGTATTTCAATTTAGAATAACTTGGGTTGGGAAACAACTGATGATCTAGATTTATAATGAAGGGGAAACCAAACCA